AACAAGGTCAAACAACCTCTATATAACGAAAGGAGACTGCGACCACACAAAAGGCCACACCATCTTGGTCCTTATACCTTCGATTATAACACTTATAGTTGAATTTTCCCACATTGATGAGGCTTGATCTCATGAGGCATACAATGCATATTCAAGGTCTTGGAATAGTATCGAAATCCACTCAACATGAATATCAAAGCAAATGGAGCTGCTAACATTAAGAATCAACTTTTTATGGGCATATTAAGCAGATCAAAAGGAGCAATAGGTAGGAAATGTGAGAGATGTTCAGCAATCAGTTTATTTTTTGTGGACGAGCATAAGATGGCGTCGTTTAGTCATTAAAGGTTCAGATGAAGACGGAATATGGGTTGTGTGTACAGGCACAATGTGAACAACAAACCATACTCATCAGGTCAGAAACCAGTTCCTATACCGGAACCGGGTCTGTTCTCCAACAAAGTCTAGTTTTGCATCAGGCTATGTTATCAATTTAGTCATTCCAAGTTGGACATAAATGTATTCCCTTACAATAAGTCATCCTCTGGCTCTAGGGGACATTGTTAGAAATGACAAGTTGAATATCTGTCCGGTATCGATCCCTCGCAAGCATTGACACTGAGTCAAGTTTGCAGTCACATGATCATTGATATAGATCCGGCTGAAGAATAGAGAATTAGGCACCAATACCGACTACACCTTGGTTCTTTCAGCGTATTAGTCATTATTTTTATCCGTAGTTTTGTAATATGCAAGATTCCAACCACCATTACGTGAGTAATACAGATTGAATATTTGCTATACGGTATCTGCTTATTTAACGATGACTAGAGCTCTAACTACTTTGATTCCTTTGCTCTGTCTCTTGTTAACAAATTATTTGGCCAATTTTGCGGAAAGTTCAGCAGATCATTGCCTTACCCTGGCTGATACACTTGCCTAAACTCACCATAAGGCACTGACCTTCGGTCAACTAAATGACCTCTCGTGAATCGAGCATACTTTGAATGTTTTCAACCTGTATTCTCTGAACTTGAGATTTGAAAGCACTGTTCGAATATATGTAATGTGGTTAGAAAATCAAGCTTCCTATTCAATTTGCCGCAGACACGGCTTTTAATAAAGCTGGCAGCTCTAATAATTTGGATTGGTGAAATTAACGGTCAAGTAGGAAAATTATGACTGTGGAATAGGATAGCACTCTTTATGCAAACTAACTCTGTACCATGTTGCTTTTGATGTTAAAGTGATGAGAC